GAAAAATGGGGATTTCGGGAAAAAAACAGGGATTTTGGGGCAAAAAACTCCTGGGTTTGGGGTCAAACCTTGGGACTTTGGGGCAAAACATGGGGATTTTGGGGTGAAATCCAGGCTTTTTGGGGTGAAATCTATATGTTTTGGGGCGAAATCCAGTGGTTTTGGTATGAAATTTCTGGATTTTGGGGTGAAATCTGGGAATTTTAGGGTGAAATGCAGTGGTTTTGGTGTGAAATCAAGGGCTTTTAGGTTGAAATCCAGGGGGTTTGGTGTGAAATCCCTGGATTTTGGGGTGAAATTTGGTGCTTTTGGGGTGAAAATCTGTGGATTTTGGGAGTGAAATCCAGGGGTTTTGGGGTGAAATCTCTGGATTTTGGTGCAAAATCCTTGGATTTTGAGATGCGATCTGATGGTTTTGGGGCGAAATCTCTGTGAAATCTCTGGATTTTGGGGTGAAATCCAGTGGTTTTGGGTGGAAATCCCTGGATTTTGAAATGAAATCCTTGGATTTTGGGGTGAAATCTGGTAGTTTTGGGGTGAAATCTTGGGGTTTTGGGATAAAAGTCTGGGGATTTTGGGGTGAAAATCCGCGGATTTTGAGGTGAAATCTGCGGATTTTAGGGTGAAATCCTTGGATTTTGGGGTGAAACCCAAAAGTCTTAGGGTGAAATCCAGGGATTTTGAGGTGAAACACCTGGATTTCGGGTTAAGTTTGTGTATTTTGAGGTGAAATCCCTGGATTTCAGGGTGAATTCTGTAGATTTTGGGGTGAAACGCCTGGATTTTGGGTGGAATTTGTGTATTTTGGGATGAATTCTGTAGATTTTGGGGTGAAACCCGTAGATTTTCATGCGAAACGCTTGGATTCTGGGGTGAAATCCATGGATTTTGAAGTGCAACCTGCGGATTTTGGGGGGAAATCTGGGGGGGTTTTGGGGTGAAATCCTGTGGTTTTGGCATGGGAATTTGCGTACTTCGGGGTGAAATGCTGGGATTTTGGGGTGAAACAAACACCTGGATTTTGGTGTGCAATTCCGTGGTTTTGGGGTGAAATGGCTGGATTTTGGGTGTCCCCAGAACGCCATCATGTTCGGGAAGAAGCGTCACACGGACGTGCAGTTCTACACCGAGGTGGGGGAGATCACCACCGACCTGGGCAAACACCAGCACATGCACGACAGGGACGACCTCTACGCCGAGCAGGTGGGCTGAAAAACCCAGATTTTGGGAAAAAACGGGAAAAAAATGGGAAAAAACACGAAAAAATGGGAAAAAACGGTAAAAAATGGGAAAAAACAGCCAAAAAATGGGGTAAAACGGGAGGAAAAGGGGTCCTGGAGCTGCACATGCACGACAGGGACGACCTCTACGCCGAGCAGGTGGGGGAAAATGGGGGGAAAAACCCAGATTTTGGGAAAAAACGGCGAAAAAATGGGGAAAACGGCGAAAAAATGGCGAAAAAATGGTGAGAAAATGGAGTAAAAATGGCAGAAAAAAGGGAAAAAATGGGGTAAAATTGAAAAAAATGAAAAAAATGATAATGGGGTGGAAATGGGAGAATTTGGGGAAAAATGGGAAAAAACGGTGAAAAAATGCGAAAAATTGGGGTAAAATTGAAAAAAAGAAGAAATGAAAAAATTGGGATAAAATTGAAAAAAAATGAAAAAATTGGGGTAAAATTGAAAAAAAAAAAGAAAAAATTGGGGTAAAACTGAAAAAAAGTGAAAGAATTGGGGTAAAATTGAAAAAAAATGAAAGAAATGAAAATGGGGTGAAAACGGGAGAATTCGGGAAAAAATGGGAAAAAACGGGGAAAAAATGGGGAAAAAATGGGGTAAAATTGAAAAAAATGGGAGGGTGTTTTGGGTGGCATTTCTGTGCAATTTGGGCTCATTTCCGTATGTTTTGTGTCCCTTTCCCTGCGTTTTGGGTTCATTTCCCCATGTTTTGGGTCCCAGATGGAGCGGGAGATGCGGCACAAGCTGAAAACGGCCTTCAAGAACTTCATCGAGAAGGTCGAGGCCCTCACCAAGGAGGAGCTGGAGTTCGAGGTGCCCTTCCGGGAGCTGGGGTACGTCCGGGGGCCTTTGGGGAATTTTGGGGAATTTTTGGGAATTTTGGGGAATTTTCAGGATTTTTTGGGATTTTTTTGGGGGCATTATTCGGATTTTTGGGGATTTTTTTTGTGATTTTTCAGGATGCTTCCGGAATAGTTTTGGAGAGTTTTGGGGAGTTTTGGGGTCCTGGAGAGTTCCGGGATTTTGGTGGATTTTCTAGGGACTTTTTGGAATTTTTGGGGGGGTTTTTGGGAATTTTCGGGAATTTTTGGGAAATTTTTTGGGATTTTTTCAGGATTTTTTGGGGAGTTTTGGGGGATTTTTTGTGCATTTTATTAGGATTTTTTGGGGGGTTACATTTTGAATTTTGGGGGATTTTTCAATGGCTTTTCTGCAGAGTTCTGGAATTTTTGGGGGGATTTTTTTTTAGGATTTTTGGGGATTTTTTTTTAGGGTTTTTTGGGGGAGTACATTTTGAATTTTGGGGGATTTTTTTGGTGAGTTTTCAGGGTATTTCTGGGGGAGTTTTGGGGAGTTTTGGGGTCCTGAAAAGGGTCTGGGGGTCCTGGAGAGTTCTGGGATTTTGGGGGATTTTGGGGGGATTTTTTGGGGACTTTTAGTGCATTTTATTGGGATTTTTTGGGGGGTATATTTTGAATTTTGGGGGATTTTTGGCGGCTTTTCTGGGGGAGTTTTGGGGTCCTGAAAAGGGTTCTGGGGGTCCTGGAGAGTTCTGGGATTTTGAGGATTTTTTTTAGGATTTTTTGGGGGTTTTTGGGGATTTTTTGGGATTTTTTTAGGTTTTTTGGGGGGTATTTATTTGCAATTTGGGGGATTTTTTTGTGATTTTTCAGGATATTTGCGGGAGAGTTTTGGGGAGTTTTGGGGTCCTGGAGAGTTGCAGAATTTTGGGGGATTTTTTTGGGTTTTTTTTAGTGGGATTTTTGGGGGGATTTTTTGGGATTTTTTTAGGATTTTTAGGGTGTATATTTTGAGTTTTGGGGGATTTTTTTTTGTGACTTTTTGGGATATTTTGGAGAGTTTTGGGGTCCTGGAGAGTTCTGGGTTTTTTGGGGATTTTTTTTTTGGTTTTTTGGGAATTTTTTGAGATTTTTTTCGGATTTTTTGGGTGATTTATTTGGAATTTTGGGGATTTTTTTGGTGACTCTTCAGGATATTTCGGGGGCGGTTTTGGGGAGTTTTGGGGTCCTGAAAAGAGTCTGGGGGTCCTGTGGGTTTTTGGGGTCTCTCTGTGGGTTTTTGGGGTCCCTTGGCCGGTCGTGCCCGTTTCTGAGGTGTTTTTGGGTTGTTTTTGGGGTGTTTTTGGTGCAGGTTCAACGGAGCCCCGTACCGCAGCACCTGCCTCCTGCAGCCAACCAGCAGCGCCCTCGTCAACTGCACAGAGTGGGTGAGTCCGACAGGTGTGCCCAGGTACCCCCAGGTGTGCCCAGGTACCCCCAGGTGTGTCTCAGG